TGCCTACCGTCCCTGTCCTATTGTTTCTCTTATTCTTTTATTTTTCTTATATGTACCCATTTCATGTATTCACAACTATGTATACACTTATACTTATTATCTTGTAAACAATTGGCAAATCAAATAAATAAATAAATAAATAAAAGTAAGAAGGAATCGAGTTATCCATTTCAGGTAGATGAGTTTCCTTTGAATCTTCTTTTATATAATATTTTCTTATCAAATATTTACCTTCTGATTTATCTTTTGTACTGACTTTTATTTTTATATCCATTTCTTATCAAACATATATCTGCATATTCCCCAAAAGCCAGCCTATGATGGTTTAGGACATCAGCCCCCACCTTTCCAGCTTAGCATCCCAGCCCGGTCTGGAGGGGGGCATGTGAGTGGTAGGCGCATGTACACACGCCCTCTGTTCATGTGAACGAAGCTCCATGTTTCAGCAGAGGGTGCTTACACTTGCACATGAGGGTGTTTGCACTCCATTCGTGCGAGCAGACGACACTTGAGCGGAGGGTGCTGGTGCTCGTGAGCAAAGCTCCATTCATGCAAATGGTGCTTCACACGTGAGTGGGAACATCCTCTGCTCTCATTAATAGAGCTTTGTGTGTGCACGCTTGCCCATCTCTCCTGCATCCAGGTTTCAAACAGGCCACAGCCTGGGGGTTTGGGACCCCTGGTTTAGGATTCAACAGTATGTAAACTACTAAAGCTCTCTTTCCTGTAGCTTTTACCTGAGCGAAATGGTGCACCATAGGGCAATTTTTTTTCATCCAAGGTACCTCAAAGAAGCTAACTTATAGAATGCATCCAAAATTTGGGTTCCTCTAGGTATGGTACAGTCAACTCATTATAAAAAACTAAATCTAGCATGTATCATACTTGGGTGTCTGTGTATGTATGTACACATGTTGACAAGACTACTGAACTCATGATGGTCATGAGATTGAGAACCAATTTTGTCTAATGGTTAAGTCACCAGGCTACAAACTAGGAGATGTGAGTTCTAATCCCACTTTAGGCATGAAACCACTCACTGACTGGGTGACCTTGGGCCAATCACTCTCTCTCAGTACAGCCTACCTCACAGATGGTTTGTTGTGGAGAAAATAGGAAGACGAAAGAGTATTATGCATGTTCACCAATCAATGTGAGATAAAAATTAATTAATTAAAATGGCCACAAAATCCTGATACAATTCTACAGACTGGTTTTGGCATGGATGTTGAAATTGCCAAGCAATGGCAGCGTGGAGGAATCTCAGCCCCAAATCTGATATCAACTCCTCTTATTGTTGGGTAGGGACAGCAAGAGATCTAGACAATGCAAAATTGTTACATTGAACAATTTGTGCCTTTGTCTTTGGAATAAAATGTTATCTCCTTCCACTTATGTGCATACATTTTCTAATAATAGCCTCAAGTAATTTTACAGATCTTACTTTTAATTCTATTTTATTATTATTGATTTAACTTTTCCCCCTTCTACTAATGTTTAAATAAATCAATACCTAAGTGTTTTTAAATTCATCCCTTTTAGATTATTTCTGTTCTTAATAATTTTACTAAGTATTCTACTGTTGTAATGATAAGACAGTCGAGTTGTTTGATCATGAACAACTGAATCATGATGATCTTTATTGGAGTCTAGTCTTGCATTTATACACATTTTTAGTTATCCTCCATCACTGGTTAACTTTGGTTACTGCTTAACTTTCGTTACTGTTTTGCACAGTAATCCATACAATTAATTATCTCTAGTTAAAGTCTAACATATGTTTACTTCCTCTCTCTAATCCTCCTTTAGATTTGTGACTTTGTTTACCTGAGTTGTATTTGCTTGGAAACATTCTTTATCTGAGGTTTGCCATCCGAGATTGGAACATTCCTGCAATTACAACTCTACATTCTACTTTGTTATATTAAAAATGGGCATGAAGGAGGAGGGAAAGTTCCAGGTTTACTTACTGTTCTGAACTACATTCCCCTCTAAACCAATCTATGAAAAGTCAGTACCTGGACCATCCTCTTCAGCACTTCTGCTCCACAACTCCTTTTCACGGCATCCCATCTTTTCTGCCATTCTGTTCACTTGCCCAATATTTCTTCTTTCTTTCAGAGGTTGGAAACTGCTTGAAGTCATCACACACATTTGTTCGGTGTTCAGAACTTCCTAGTTCTGATATCTTCTTTTGCTCCACTTCGTTCTTTCTTTCAGCATCTTCAACCATTCTGCTTGCTTGGTAGACAATATTCCCTAGCATACAAAGAAAGCAGCCCCCCTCCCCCACGCTAATCTGCCTGCCAAATCTGCCCCCTTTTAAGCCCTGCACAAAGGGGACATAAATATCACCCACAAAGGTTCTAGTGCACCTAGAATATTTCCAGATATCCTGGTATGCTTGTGGTAGCAGGCAAAAGAAAAACAAAATCAAACTTTCAAACTTTGAAGAATCCCCGAAATAATTTCAGCCATTGCAGCTCCTCTGTCTGCAAATACTTGATATGCCACAAAATCTCTGATCTGCTGTGGGTAACCCAATTGCAGTTACTCACATTCAGATTCTTTCATCTTTCTGACTTGATCCTCGGAGGATGAATGGAATCCTTGACAACACTTAGAATAAAGAGAGTAGGTTGCTTCCTATTAAATTAGCTTATCATTAGCTAGATGATCAATTCACTATAACTTTAATAGTAAATTATTTCTCTTGGAGATTTTCTATACACAGTTTGCAAATATTATTGTTCAAATTAAATTACATAGGTGATGCATCAATTTTGCAATACGGCATGACAATGCTAACTCTCAGAGATCACATAGACAAATTTTATCCATGACAATCCATCTCTAACCCAGTGCTTCTTGGCTTTTTAAGCTTTTTTCAGCAACTTTAAGTAGTGTAATGTATATATTGAATGATTGTGTATATATCCCAACACTTGCAGGAAACATTTTCAATCCCCAATACATTCTGTATCTTTTCACTAAAAGAAGTATTTTTCTTCTTCACTGAATTTTTAAACAGAAAGAAGTTAATACTAGTACAATCTTTTGAGTAAGGATAATTGGTGGCATGTTTTATATATCAGTGTTTAACATGCCACAGAATTTAATCTATTATATTACCTCATTAGCTGTGTTGTGAGTGCCAACAATTCTGATAAAAGATGCTGGTTGTCTATCAAAAGTTACAAATTGCCAGGATCTGCACAAGAAAGAAAAGGGATACAGAAAATTAAAACAACTGCACACTTGTTTTTTTTAAATCAGAAAAGCAAATCATCTCAAGGCAGAAGTATAGAACACAAAATTCAAAAGAGCAATGCACCTTTAGTCAGGTAAGTGTATATTAGTGTACTGTATTTTTGGAAAATAGAATATGAGAACAATGTAAAAGAAATACTGAAACATTTAAGCAAAACTAAATCACTTCAAGCATATGGCATTGGTCTTCTTCTAATGTCAGGTTTCACAAGTGGAAGCAGTTGAAATGCTGGCAGTTGCCACATTCTGTTGGTGCTAGTTTCACTTTTAAACAAAATGAAGGAATAACTGAATGAAAGAAGAGCAAGAATTTCTATGGTTCTAATAACTGCTCAGAAGAGGTAGGAAGTAGAAATTTTCTTATCCCACATAAAAGTGCCTTTTCTTGTAACTGCTATAAATGGAAGAATTCAATTTCTTTAACTTATTCTGGAGATAAATTTGGATCAATAATAAAAAGAAGCTATGTTAAAAAGCACCTGGCTTTTGAAAACCTAAGGTTTCAAACAGATAATTATGGCAAAAAGGTGGGGTTATGTTATTCCTGTGGGCCTCAAACCTTGGACTTTCTAGATTTCTCCTCTTCTACTATTTTAGAAAAGAACTGTGTTTTTTCTTAGCTTAAATTACAATTCTGTGTGTTCTCTACACCAAACTACAACTGGGTTTGTGCATCACATTAAATCGAAACCAACTGTGTTTACTGTTTAGCATAAGTTATGATTTTTATTAACAAAAAGGATGTAATTGCTCATACTGAAGGAATCAGCAATGTGAAACTTGAAGTACCTCAAGGACCTAACATAATGATTTTTAAATTGTTGCAGTCTGACACGATACTATTTTCTTTTATGGTGCTGGAAAAGGCTCATGCCTTTATGCAAGTATAATTTTTGGCACCTCTTTCTTCTCTCAAGAAGGAAAGAGCAAGAAGATTTGAATATTTCCTTATAAACAGTAGACATCATTACATTGGATTAATACATAATCAGATTATCTTTTTCCCCGAAGTCAATTTGAAGATAAAATTACAAACTTTATGCATAATAGAGCTTAATATAAGTAAAGAAATGATAACAAGATAGCTAAAGCAATTTGATGAACTTTTGAAGGAGATTATCATTTGGATAGCATTGCATTCAAAAGATACATACTACTAAAAAGCAAAATGAAAAAGAAAGGAAAGGAAAACACTGAAAGAATTGCAACACTGTTGGTTCCATTTATAACCAAGATTTGAGCTGGAATATTGTACAGTATAGCAAAAAGCTGTAAGAAAGAGCTGATCTGATCTTTTTATGACATTTTTGTATACTTATTCTTTTAATTCCATTGGGCTTTGGAACTATAATGAAGCAGAAAATAATTCCACTTTTATAAATTCAAGACATCAACCTCACCAGAAAGAAATGTAATATTTTAATAAGCACACACACAAAAATTGCTTTCCTCTATGCAAAATCATATGAATACAGTCCAGCAACAGTTGTACCTTTCTAATGCCATCTACATTAGTTCTAACATAATTTTGATAGTGTTGGTTTATTAAGGCAAAACTTTAGCAGACTTGGTAGAAAAGCATCTAGCTGGATATAAAAGGCTTAGGCACATTAGATGCTGTCATACACAGAGCAAACATGTAAATTAGTTATGTCACACTGATTTCAATACATCTACTCTAATTGATGACTAAATTAATTTCAATTTCCTGAATATGCCACATTTTTTTCTGGTGCCTTTAAGTCAGTATTGATTCCTGGTGACTGCCTGGTCTACTACTTGCAGTTTTCTTGGGAAGCTTTTCAGAAATGGTTTGCCATTACTTGCATCCTAGAGGTGAGACAAAATGACTGACCCAAGATCACTCACCTGGCTAAGATGGGTCTAGAATTCATAATCTCTCAGTTTCTAGCCTGATGCCCAGATGTGTTACCAAACTCATTTGCATTATCATTTTTTAAAAAAATTGGTGTTTGTTTTATCTTGGGATAGGAAAGTACAAAATCAGTTATAGCTAGAGCCCAATTTAAAAAACCAGTGTTTTGATATGCTACAAAACTACTTCTCTATAGTTGAAATCTGTGCTGATTACAAAAAAAAGGGAGTGGGGGAACTTAGGTAGACATTCGTAAAAGAACAGAGTTATGCCCTTTACAAGCCTATGATATCATTTTAAAGATTAAAGAGAAAATGAAGTCTCTTAGGAAATCCTGGAACTTCTAGTATGTTATTTACTTAATACAGAATGCAGCAGAACAGAATCAATTTGCATAAGAAAACTGCATGTACAAACATTGGCATTATGCCCATCTAATTGGATACCACAAGAATTGCTGCTCCTAAAATGCCAAAGTGCAAAGATGTACATCTGATAAAAAGCACTCAGAAGGGCACAGAAGCTTATCCAAATTCTAACTGAGCCTTTTCTATCTCTGATAAATAGTAGGAGCCATATACATTCTACCTAAGAAAGCTGTGTGGGGCATAATTAATTTAGGACAAAAGACAATTTTCAGTCCAACAATTCCTGAAGATTAGCTCTTAACTATATGCTATCAACTTTATATAATCTAGATATTTACAAATTTAACAGGGATTATAATTTTGCTTATTTTTGTGTCAATCAGTTAAATCTGAGCAAGTTTTTTTTTATTATTTCCAATATATCATTTTAAATGCATTTTTCTAGGGAAGTACTGACATACAAATTAGCAAAATTAGAAATGATTATGCAGTAAGAAGGAAAATGTATTCATCCACAGACTATTTAAAATAAACTATTTAAAATAAACCTGAAGAGATACAATTCTGTCTTCCAAGGTGGCGTGTAAAAATATTCAAGGGAGCACCTGAACTACTAAATATAAATGAGAAATTTCTAATTCCTGGTGTTATGAATTAGAGTCTTTCCAGTGTCTATGTAAAAAAAAACAAAAGTGAATTTAGGACATAGAAGATATTAATATCTACATGCTAGAAACACAGAATGAGAAGATGTATTAAATGCATGCTCACTGTGTCCATGAAACCGTTACATATACAAACTGAATGGTAAGATTGAACTGAATTTTGTTTACAAATAGACAGAGACCATTATGCAGCTTTTATGCAATATAAAACTCAACATCCCTTTGTGTCAATAATTCTCTGTGCTACTTTGCTCCAGGAACAGCCATTAACAAGTAAAGAACTAGTTTAGTAGGTTTAGCAAAACAGCAATGGATGATAGACTATTTTTTCTACCACACATGATAGCGAGAAAATAGAAATGAAGATGTTATCCAAAAGATCAAAAATACACTGCTCAAAAAAAAATAAAGGGAACACAAAAATAAGACATCCTAGATCTGAATGAATGAAATATTCTTATTAAATACTTTGTTCATTACATAGTTGAATGTGCTGACAACAAAATCACACAAAAATTATTAATGGAAATCAAATTTAGCAACCCATGGAGGTCTGGATTTGGAGTTACACTCAAAATTAAAGTGGAAAAAAACACTACAGGCTGATCCAACTTTGATGTAATGTCCTTAAAACAAGTCAAAATGAGGCTCAGTAGTGTGTGTGGCCTCCACATGCCTGTATGACCTCCCTACAGCGCTTGGGCATGCTTCTGATGAGGTGGCGGATGGCCTCCTGAGGGATCTCCTCCCACACCTGGACTAAAGCATCCCCCAACTCCTGGACAGTCTGTGGTGCAATGTGGCATTGGTGGATGGAGCGAGACATGATGTCCCAGATGTGCTCAATTGGATTCAGGTCTGGGGAACGGGCGGGCCAGTCCATAGCATCAATGCCTTCGTCTTGCAGGAACTGCTGACACACTCCAGCCACATGAGGTCTAGCATTGTCGTGCATTAGGAGGAACCCAGGGCCAACCGCACCAGCATATGGTCTCACAAGGGGTCTGAGGATCTCATCTCTGTACCTAATGGCAGTCAGGCTACCTCTGGCGAGCACATGGAGGGCTGTGTGGCCCCCTAAAGAAATGCCACCCCACACCATTACTGCCCCTCTGCCAAACTGGTCATGTTGGAGGATGTTGCAGGCAGCAGAATGTTCTCCACGGTGTCTCCAGACCCTGTCACGTCTGTCACATGTGCTCAGTGTGAACCTGCTTTCATCTGTGAAGAGCACAGGGTGCCAGTGGCGAATTTGCCAATCTTGGTGTTCTCTGGCAAATGCCAAACGTCCTGCACAGTGTTGGGCTGTAAGCACAACCCCCACTTGTGGACGTCGGGCCCTCATATCACCCTCATGGAGTCTGCTTCTGGCTGTTTGAGCAGCCACATGCACATTTGTGGCCTGCTGGAGGTCATTTTGCAGGGCTCTGGCAGTGCTCCTCCTGTACCTCCTTGCACAAAGGCAGAGGTAGTGGTCCTGATGCTGGGTTGTTGCCCTCCTATGGTCTCCTCCATGTCTCCTGATGTACTGTACTGTCTCCTGGTAGCACCTCCATGCTCTGGACACTACGCTGACACACAGGAAACCTTCTTGCCACAGCTCGCATTGATGTGCCATCCTGGATGAGCTGCACTACCTGAGCCACTTGTGTGGGTTGTAGACTCCGTCTCATGCTACCACTAGAGTGAAAGCACCACCAGCATTCAAAAGTGATCAAACCATCAGCCAGAAAGCATAGGAACTGAGAAGTGGTCTGTGGTCACCACCTGCAGAACCACTCCTTTATTGGGGATGTCTTGCTAACTGCCTATGCTTTCCACCTGTTGTCTATTCAATTTGCACAACAGCATGTGAAATTGATTGTCAATCAGTGTTGCCACCTAAGTGGACACACTTCACAGAAGTGTGATTGACTTGGAGTTACATTGTGTTGCTTAAGTGTTCCCCCTTTTTTTATTTAAGTTTTTATTGGTTTTTAAAAACAAACATAAACAAACAAAACATAAAAACATCAAGCCATCTTCCATATGT